GGTGGCTCAGTTGATAGAGTGCTGGGCCTGGAGTCAGGAAGACTCATCTTCCTGAATTCAAATCTGGCCTTGTACACTTACTAGCTCTGTGACCCTGGGCAAGTGACTTAACCTTATTTGCTTCAGTTTCCTCATCTGTAAAATGAGCTGGAGAAGGAAATATCAAACCACTCCAGGATATTTGGCAAGAAAACCCTAAATGAGATCAGGAAGAGTTGGACACGACTAAACAATAAACTCATACATGCATATCATTTATATGTGATATATGATGCATAAAAAGAATTTATATAAGAAATTGATTATATATGTAATTTGTATATGAAATTTACATATAGAAGCAGCCTAGCAGAGTGGATAGAGAGCTGGGAACCTGGGTTCAAGTCCTGCTTCTAATAGATTCTTACTGTCTGTACCTCAATCAACTCCTTAAGATTTTGAGTTGCAGAAAAGGTGCTGATCTGTATGAATAGAGGGAGTTTCCATATGGGAAGGACTCTATACCAATGCAATCCCAAGTCTTGTCTCTGTCCTGTGTCTTTAAAGGGTTTATTTTTTCTCAAATTCCTAGTAATTGGTTTAGGTATTCAAATATGCATCCATGAGTTGTTTTTATTATCAGAAACCTAAATAAGAGTTAATAACCTGATAATACAAACAAAAATAAAAGAAAATATGAAGAAAGATGCTATCTCTATCCACAGAAGGAACTGACAAACAGAAGTATAGAATAATTTTACATATATGTATGTGTATGTATGTATATGTATACATGTATATGTATACATATGTATATATGTACATGTGTGTGTGTGTGTGTGTGTGTGTGTGTGTATATATATATATATATATATATATACCCATACATATATATACTTGTGCCTGATGGTAGCCATCTCTAGGGCAGGAATGGGAAGAAAAAAAGGGAAAAAAAGAAATTCACTTGATAACTTTGTTGTATATTTGGGAGGAATAGCAAGTTATACATAGTAGTTTTCATGTGCAATCATCTTTTTATTGTACTGTGTTATGGAAATGCTTGTTTGGTTTTGAGAATTGAAAATAAAATAAATTTGTTATACAAAAATTAAAAAAAACAGACAAGTGGGTGAGGAATATAAAAGAAGCATAGGAGAATAGGGAGGAGGGAATAAGCATTTATATAGCACCTACTCTATGCCAAGCACTGTGCTAAGTAAGCACTTTACTAGTGCTATCCTACTTGACCCTCACTATAACCCTATGAAGTAGGGGCTTTTATTATCCACATATTACATTTGAGGAAGCTGAGGCAAACAAAGGCTTAGCAAATTGCTCAGGGTCACATAATGTCAGAGGCTAGATTTGAACTCAGGTCTTCCTACTCCAGGCCCAGGACTTTATCCATTGTACCAACTAGCAGCCTAGGTGATGATTCTTGATCTCAAAGAAATGAAAATCTAATTGGAGAGACATGACTAATATAATCCCTAACAAAATGACCTACAGTAGCTCTTTATTGCTTATTAGATCCAACACACAGCCTTGAATCTGGTATTTAAAGTCTTCTTATAATCCTCTCAGACCTCATTTTTATTGGAGAAGAAAATACCTGAGCTGCAATAAAAGTTGGGAAAGGATTCCAGTCCATGCCCTCTTAGCTAAACCTGAAGTGAGTTTACCACCACCCGATGACTGCAAATGACTCATAGCTCTTCCCTGTTGACTTCCATGAGCTGCTAAATCAGGGATTCTTTATCATTTTTTTTTTTCTGTCACGACCCCTTTGGCAATCTGATGAAGCATACGGTTACTTCAAAATAATATTTTAAATGCATAGGATAAACAGGCTTATAAAGGAAATCATTTATATTGAAATAGTTTTCAAAATATTAAAAAAAAAACAAGTTCACAGATTACGGATTAAGAACCTCTGCACTAAATGAAAGGGTATGCCTCTAAGAATCTAATTTTCCTCAAGTAACATGTAGGTGACAACATGTGTCCTCAGAGAATCAGCAACAGCTAACATCAGGTCAGTGATAAACTTCTCTGTCTCTTCAGACTTCTTCTAGAATCACCTTCCACTAAGTGCTGAGGGAGGACAGTGAGGTGGCACGGAGGATAAATGCCACACCTGGAGTCAGAAGAACCTCAGTTCAAATGTGACCTCAGACACTTACAAGCAGTGTGACCCTGGGCAAGTCACTTAACCCTGTTTGCCTCAATTTCTTCATCTATAAAATGAGCTGGAGAAGGAAATGGCAAACCAGTCTAGTGTCTTTGCCAAGAAAACCCCAAAATGAGGTCATGGAGAGGCTAAATGATTCATCAATAAGAGCTGAGGCACATATAGCAGAAAGGCTAATTTTTTTGTGTAGCTTCAGGGCAGTGTTTTATTTTTACTTTTTTTTTTTTGTTATTAAGTTGAACACTGCCTTGTACTTCCTTTTATTTTTCTTCCTCCTGGGGCACAGGAGTTAGACAGCAAGGGATCATGAAGTAATATAGATGTAACATGAAATATTTGAATTTCCTGATTATCCCAGAGTGAGTTTGGGATTGTAGAATAGATGAAATAAATATAGCAAGCTCAGCTGGGGCAAATTTCTAAATTGTCTGGGTGTGTCAGGGAGGATGATTCTATTCTGGCACTCTATCCATTGCACCAACTAGCTGCCCCTCAGGCACATGGTAGTTATTCATTAAATATTTGTTGAATTGATTTAAATTGAGAAGTCAGTGTCTTTGGAAAGATATTCAAGTTGTCAACTATTCACGTACCTCTAGATAAATAGCAAAAAAGGCCCCAGAAATACTTATGGGACAAATACAAATGTATGGAGGGGAACTTGAAGTTGGGGCCTAGGTGTCCTGAAATGGAGACATTCCTCCAAATGTCCCAGGGTTGTTATATTCCTGCTGTTGGCATTTACATAATATATGCAAACAGCATCTATGAAAAAGTTAGAGATAAGTATTTATGGAATGAGAATTAAAAAAAAAAAACACTATTCTTAAATGAAATAACAAGGCACTTACCTCTCTGGGTCTCCACGGGATCAAGGCCTAATTTTGTTTCTCTTATATAACAAATTAAAAAAAAACCTTTTGGTAAGTTCCTTAAGGTATTAGACTTAGCCAGTATTTGTAAAGTAGAGTACACTGTCCTTAGAGTCATGAAGAAGGGTGTCATGTTCCAGTTTTGCTGATAACTTGTTGTGTGAGCTTGGACAAGCTTGGTTAATCTTTCTGGCCTTCAGTTTCTTTATGTGTAAAATGAGATTTTATTAGATAATGTCTAAGATGCCTTCTGGCTCTTGACAATCTCTGAGTTCAAGCTTATATATTTAAGGCTTTTTTAAGCTACTATACCCTGTAAATACAAGATTCTTCTCATTCCCTTACTCTGCCTTTTCCTGTCTTTTCCTCAATATTTACAAATAATGGGGGAATGTAACAAAACTTTTCAGTAATTAAACATTACAGCAATTAGGCCATACTTTTGTACTCAGAAATTATCCTGACCATTCACTGATACTGGAATTCTCTTTTTAGGAGATCTTTTGTCTTCCCTACTCATACATAATCTATATCTTGGGGGGGTATAGAAAAAAAATCTCCAAAAAAATTCTCAAACTGAAAACACATTCTTCACCTTTTTATGTTGGAGTCTTTCTGTGGATTATATATTTTGGCTGAGCACTCTGTGGGCAAGTGAAACAGCTGTTACCAATTCAAATGCCACTGACAGGTGGCCAGGGCTTTATGCAAAAATCTTGTACTGACAGGGCC